ATATGGTTGAAGGCGTGTGATAGTTATAGATAAAGGATAATGAACGAGACGATGATAGTGTTAATCTTGTTTTTTTGAAGTTAATGAAATATATATTGTTAAAATTAATCATATCGCTCACGTGCAATTTTATTATAAAACATACGGTGTTTGGAAATCGCTCACATTGTTCCATTGATTTAAAAACTATGATCATACAAAAAAAAACTTCCGTTTGGAAAATCTGATCTGTATAATGTATCGCGTGACCAATAACCAATCTTCTGGTGTTTTGATTCAACATTATATATATATACGACCACATGATAATGAATTCATCATATGCTTTAGTCCAAAAAAGGAGAAAAATTAAAGCTTATGCGTCACATATATATACAAATAACCAAATAAGGTAATGATTTGACGATGAAATAAATATGGTTTGTGAATTTGGCAATTATGAAAATTTTCCCAAGCGATATAAACGCTTATCAAGCTTATCATTACCAATGACCAAGACCTCACCTCGTCGAATACCACCTAGACGAGAAGATTCCTCTAGAGAAGCTGCTTTCATTTTTCTTTCAAATATTAGCCTCGGATCTGAGTCTTCCTATCCACCAAATAATAATAGTAACCATCATAGAGTGTCGACTGTTTCCAGCCACTCTATCACCAGCCCATACCAACAACAACAACAATTGCCACTTCAAAAAGCTTATCAACAAAATAAAAACCAATTATTATTAAATAAGGATAAACAATCGGAGGAAGAGGAGGAAGACGACGACGACGAAGATTTAATTACACCAAGTGATTTAAATAGTAATATATTATTAAATAATGTCAATAAATATGTCAAAATTCCTTCTTTTCAAGTTACAATTGTTAATGAAGATAATAATAATATCAATAATACCGATCACAACAACAATAACAACAGCAACAAAAACGACAATAATAACAGACCAGACTTGCGTATTGATACCAAAAAAGCGAATATCCCTTTTGAAAAAGTTTCTAATAATAATGCAACAACAGGAATTTATGTTACTTCCCAAACTAGAAAATCACCCAATAAAAAAATATTTAATAACAATAAAACTTCCCCCATAAACTTAAAGGATGGTTATGATGATAATTTAAACTCTTCTAGCAACAAAGGTCGTGTAAGAAGTGGCAGTCTTCATGAAGAAGCAGCCGTCAACTTCTTGACGAACATTATTAATCTTGATCCTAATAAGAAACCATCCAAGGTTGCAGTTCATCATCATTCTTCAAGAGGAGGTTTAACTAGTCCGACAACAATCAAGCAATCAGTTTCAGGATTCGAGGCTAGTGATGATAACTCATTTGATGAAGTTGATGTGGATGGTGCTGAGGACCAACAAAGAAATTTGAATCTTATGATAGAAGGTTCATTGTCTCCAACAACATCATCTGCTTACGTTAAAAGAAGACGCAGAAGTTCAGGTTAGCCACTATAGTAGAATTCAGTGAAAAAAATAATCAATATAATAGAAATCAATAATAATTAAATTATAATGTAGTTGATACATAGATTATGATAATTACAAAAATTAAAAAAATAATAATAACTAATGCCCCTAATTCTTAGCATCCACATTAAAGTCTGACACAAGTTCTTCTTCTTCGACTTCTAACACATCACCTAACTCTCCAAATCATCCAATAACCCGTAGCAAATCGGAACAACGTCGCCTAAGGAAGCATCATAATCAAGCGGATAGGAATAAAAATAACAACAATAGCAGTGGTAATGACAGTTCTGCTGGTGATCAAAATGTTGGTGATCGTAAACAACAAAATGGTGTTGGTTTGTTCTTAGGTTCTTCAGTGAGTAAAAATTATGTGGCTTTTATTAATGTATATAAATTTGATAACAATAATTGTTTTCACTGTTTGTTGTTAAAAGGCACCACTTGGAATTTTTTCAATGTTGGGATATTCAGACAAGAAATCTAAACACCAGAAAAATCATAGGGGAAACTTGTATGTCTAGCTTTATAATATATTTTAAATTTATTTTTTTCTTGAACAAAATTTTCCTTTATTATTTATTGATGATGAATAATTACCAAATCAAAAATTGAAGTTATAGAAAACCATCATCAAATTTGGAAAATATAAAAAGTAGAAAGGTGATTATAATAATCATTTAATTTTTTTTAAAAAACAAGGAAGCTTATTCACGCATGAATTTGGTTTGAATTTGATAGGCGGAATCATTTGCACACCTTTTAAATACAAGTAAAGCATTAAGGTAGTCTAAAAAAGAGAAGCCATTATAGATATGTGTGATTTGTATAATTGATACTTGTATTTAAAAATATAAAAATATATAGTTCAAAACAGGTCACTAGTAATTACGACCCAAATCTGTTAGACAATCCAGAATTGAAAACAGAAAGACAACTTTTTTCAAATGAGTTTCAAGAAGCCAAATCAAATAAGAATCGTTCAATGTTAAGTTTATCAGGGTTTATGGTAAATCTGCGTCTAACAATATTGTTAAGATCATCATTGTTATCAGAAATATGGATAAAATAATAATAGTCATTTTTTAATGATCATTGTTAGGGAACATTTATTAATCATAATACTCGTCCTTCTGATTTGAAACGGGAAACAAATGCAATATTTCGTCAATTGCATCCTGAAATTGATCCATCTTTAACCCTAAGTCAAATTCGAAAAATCAAGGCCAAATTATTTGCTACAGCTACTTGTGAGGTCTGTTTGTAAAAGCAATAATTATGATTATTATGATTATTAAATATTTTTATTTAATATCTATATATCCCTGCAATTATAGGATTTAGATTTGGAACTTTCTACTGTTGCAAAATCCTATGCATATTTTGAAAAACTTGTTTTAAAGGTAATTTTTTCTTCTCTTTTTTCATCCTGTTTGCATTGATTCCCAAATTGAATTCTAAATGTATAATAATAGAATGTGGTAAAGAAGAACAATCGAAAATTGATTGGAGGTATTTATTATAAATATTAGTCATTTATTTGGTATATAAAAAGTTATATATTAAAAAGTTTTTTCTTTGATTCAAATTAGCAATCTGTTTATTATTAGCCAGTAAAGTGAATGAACCAATGGGAATGTCATATTCACCATTATTGGAGGTTAATAACTATATATTTACAATGAGTTATTCTCAATTAATTTTCTTACTAATACTAATTTGGGACCAATTGATCAAATTAAAAATAGTCTTTACATAAACGTTTGGAGGTGACAACAAAAGAAATTATAGAACAAGAATTCTCAGTTTTTTCATCTTTGGAGTTTGAACTTTATCTTCATAGTCAAGAATATATGCCACATCTTGAAAAACTTTTTGATATTTTGAGTAAGTGAATTAATTATACTTCATGAATTGCTATTTATATTATATGGTTATTTGGCACTTAAATTCTTATTTTTTTTTCTTATCTAATAAATAAACAAATAAACAAATATTATAAGATATAAAAAGTATACAGGAATATTTGGGTGATAAATTTTTTTATGAGATGAATTATTCAAAAGAACATTAATATTAATTTATAATTTTTTAATTTTCTTAATTTTTAATTTTCTTAATTTTTTTATTTTTCTTATTTTTCTTATTTTCTACACAATAATTAGACATTATTTTATATAGGAAAAAAATTTTTTTAACATTATTTTTTAAGATAAAGATTATAAAATTTATTTAATTTGACTGAAAGGACACTGGATCTGATTTTTAATTTTTGGGATGAAAGAACAAATTAATGGCAATAAGGAAAATCAGTTAAATAAAGATTTATCAAAAAATGGTCTGTCTGGCCATTCTTTGATTTTGTTGCTTGTTATTAATTGAAAAGAAAGAAAAGTTATTTGAAAATCAGAGTTCTTTATATGAATTATTCCTTGAGGTATCTTGGATTTCAAGATGGAATGAAGATGAGTATAAGGGCACTGATCAAGCAATTGAATTGTTATGTTTTTATTTCTGTTATGACATTATTTTAATTAAATGCTTAGCACAAGACTTTGAAAATTTAATGCGTGTGTAACATGTTTTGCAGGGACTGTCACTCAAAAAATTATGTTCCCATACTTTTCTTTGAGCATTAATTTCCTGAGTGTCATTTCCTTCTTAACTATACAATCTTGTTTTTTGCTTGAACTCAACAGGCTCTACTAGTAGTCATGACATTTTATTTTGTGCTAATGATTTTTAATGACCCTTAAAACTTGCATTATGACTAAATTTTTTTTTACATATTTATCATTTAGGCTCAAAGGGTGACTTTACATCCATATATGGGGCATGCTGCAACAAAACCAGACAAAGTGAACATTGGTATTACCAGAATTTCAGGGTTCAAAGATTTAATAATCACCAACATGATTATGATTTAACAATTAATGCCTCATCTGTTATCTTTATTTTTTCTTTAAGTAGTATAACTACTCCTAATTTATTACGTTTTATTATTTCTTTATCTGTTATTTTACATTTTAAATCGTATAATGTTATAATTAGTTAACTTTATTTAGTAGAAATTAACTGTATGTATGAAGCTTGAATTTGACATACTTGTAGAATAACTTGGTAATAGTTACAAATAACTTTGTAAGAAGTTAAGAATAACTTTGATAACTTGGTAAGAAGTTAGGAAAGTTAAGAAATTCGAGATAACTTTATGGTAAAGTTTTAATAATAAAACATTAGCTTGGGAAAAGTTAATAAATTAGTTTTGACTAAATAACCACTTTCTTAAATCACTAAACAAAATTATTTGCTAATAAAACTAATTCGTTAGTAATAGCCAATTCATTCTGATCCACATATTCATAAATTTACATTTGTTATCATCAATTAATACGTTCTCCCAATAATAATTGGTGACTATTATTAATTCATTCTATAGTTTTTTTTGCTTTTCTTTCTTCACAAATAGGCAATTATTCCTATTGTTGCTCCTGCTAAAAAATTCAAAGAAAATAATACTTACTACTGTTCATTAGTAGATAAGATTTTATTATCAATTAGTAATTCATGTTTAGTTAGGTTATTATTCACTGCTTTTATACTATTATATATATTATTGATTTCTTCATCAGCATAGCTATTATTATTGTTGTTCTTTATATACCTATAGCCCTATATATAATTTTTATTTGTTTATTAAAATATTATCAACATTATTGATTATTAAAATAGATATAGTATATAAAAAAATATAAATTCAATTAGGTACAGTCAGTCTTGCCCAAGCAGATAGATATTGAAGCAATTTTTTTTTTATTTATCTGTAAAGATTTCCAAAGTTATCTACATATTATTGACTAAAAAAAATTTATATAAATTGAAAACAATTATATTATTATTAAGAGAAAAATCTTTGAAATATATTTTTACCATTGCTTCAAATTTAATGACTGATAATGCTAATGAATTTGGTAATACTGCAATTTTTGGTTTTGGCCAATTAATAAGAATTTGAGTATCTATTCCTAATGTTATAATATCATCATAATTACAATCAATTTCTATTCTCTAATTACAATAATAACAATAACAATAATATTATTGTTATTGTTTATATAAAATAAAAGGCCAATTAGAAATCAAGGATGCATTATTTTTAATTTTAACTTTGCTATTGATTTTCAATTATTCTTTTTTTTCTTTTTTTTTCTTCTGTTTCCTTTATTCTATAAGTGATTGGAGATACTTCTATTTCAACCAACCACTTCTTTTGTAATGGTGGTGTACTTCGATCATCATCATTGGATAAGTTACCAAATATTCCATTCATTATATTACAATTTTGAAATATAATTGACTACAAATTATAAAAAAAAATTGATTATTTTATGCAAGATAAGTGTTCAAACAGCAACAAAAGAAAAGTATATATACTTACCCTTAATTGAATTAGTAACAATAACAAACCAGATAAATTTCCTATGCCTTGAATTGTTGCTGGAAATTTAAAAGACATGATCTCATGATATAAATAAAGTTCTGGGAACTTTTAAATACATTACATAGACTCTGGCTTCCAGACCTAAAATTATACAATGATAAATGATTATTTTAATTATTTTTATTGACATAACCTTTCATTTATTTACCTGAGGTTTGTATGCCAAATGATTTCAACTTATCAATATTATCACCTTTTTCTTCTTGTGATAACTCTTTATAAATGGAAGTAATTTGGTCATGTAGTAAAATGCCTAATTTTGTTTTATCTGTTTTGAATTTTCTACGATCTTCTACATAAGTTTTTTTTGCTTTTTCAATCACAAGTATCTCTTTGTTCATTTTTTTATTGATTAATTTTGAATCAGGAATTAATGATAAACGGGTTTTATCATCATCTTTGTCATTTCTCCTTTCACCATTTGCAGTATGTGATCTACAACAAATAAAAAAATTAAATTGTGTAACAATTTTGAATGTTTTTTAAATATATAGATGACACTTACTGTCCAATAATATATTGACAATTCTGTGATGCAAACAAATTTATAGGGTTTTTAATGTCTGTGGCATACCTTGATCCTGGAAACTTAGAGGCTGATTTACAAACAGGTGCTGTTGCAGGTTATTCCTTGGTAAATATGAAATTTTTTTTAAATTTTTTATTTGGAGAGAATTGCAATTAATCAATTCAATCTAATCAAACAACCACGTTAATTTATTCATTCACATAGCTCTGGCTTCTATTGTATGCACATTTAGCCGGTCTATTAATACAGTGTTTATCAGCTAGAGTTGGTGTGGTAACGGGAAAGCATTTAGCTCAATTAATAAGACAATATTATTCACGTCCTGTATCAATATTACTTTGGGTAATAACTGAGATAGCTATTGTCGGTTCTGATATACAAGAGATAGTTGGTACTGCAATAGCATTAAAAATTATTTTCGGATTGCCTTTATGGATTGGTACAATGTTGACTGCCATGGACACTTTCACCTTCATGTTATTACAAAATTATGGTGTTAGGAAGTTGGAAGCTTTCTTCATGTTCTTAATTGGCTTGATGGCTGAAAGTAATAGTTTAAAGGAATTATGAAGTATATGTGTGTGTGTGTGATTCGATAGGTT